ACAACCTATTCATAAGATGGTAATTACTAAAATAAGCACCACCCACATTCATATTGTAAAATCCAGAGAACAACGTTTTGTCACGTGCTTTCCTTATCATCCTCTGATTTGTCAAACATGATATACAGCGATTGGAATAACATGGTACGGAAATTGACACCTTTGACTAGGATTGGCTAAAAGTTTTACAACTGAGGTTTGACATGCCCAGATGCTGCTTTATAAATAAAACAGACTAGAAAAAGGTTTAGATATGAACCATAAATGGCAGAACCAGTGCTGAAGTGGAAAGAAAAATAGTAAAAAAATTGTCTTCTTAGAGGGCGTTTATTTACTGTCTCAAACATATTTTAGGATTTTATTCATTAAATTCCTCTTTAAACTTCATTAAATAATACAATTTTATATAAATAATTGAATGTTATGCTACTATTTAAAAAAATAAAATCTGAAATTCATTAAAGACAAGTTCTCTATAATTTTTTCAATTCACAAATGTGATTTTGCCCTCACGATAAGACAAAATGGCCACGGCAGGTAAGGGGTTAAATAAGAAGTTTAAATTTACAGATACATTAGAAAATTTGCAAAATTACAAGAACTCTAAAGATTTAGTTAACCCTTTCAGTGCATGCTGATACATTTTGTATCATTTTGACAGAGGAAGGACATATAAACAAAAAATATAAGGTAACTCTGAGAGTTCCTCACAAAACCTTGTAAGATTTTTTTAAAGTTGATAAGTATTTTTGTACACAAAGAATGAAATTATTTTAGTTATGTCTTTCTAATAAAAAATGTTATTTATCTATAGTAGTTATTTGCACTCAAACTGTTAAAATAGTTCAAGTAAAAGGTTATTTTCATTTTAAGTATAAAAATACTTTTCTTTGTCTTATAGTTTCATATTTCATTTGAATAATCTCTAGAACATCCTAAAAGGATATCAGAAATTTTTAAACGTAGATATTTATATATTATTGTTTATTTTCTCTATCACATCACTGGCTAGCTATTATTATTAATGTACAATGCAATAATTAAAAATTAGGAAATAGAAAAAAACATACCTTTTAATTTTTTGTAGAATATCTTTATAATTTTTCCTTTTGTTAAATTTGTCATTTCAGATCTTTTCCTTTTCACATATAGTTAATTATTTTCCTTTCATGTTCTTTACCACTTATTATTCATCTTGACACAAGTCAATGGTGTGCTCGAGGCATATTACAGTTTCTTTGGAAGACATGCACAACCCTTTTGCAAAATTTTCATTCAGCACGTAATATCATAAGCCTTTAGAACAGACGCAAAGTATGATGTATATTTAAAAATGTTTAAACCTTTTAGTTATGCATTTTAAACATAACTAATACATAATCAACTAAAATATAATAGTAAGATTTCAATAAAATATAAACTGTATCTCTAACTACAACATATTTAAGTAAGAAACAATCTTAATTGCTATATTTGATCAAGCAGCCAACATACTACGGTCAGTCCCACAAACTTTGTGACGACAACTGGGTGCCAATTTCAAAATAACTGTTGTTAGATTATAGTTTAAAATGAGATCTTTCTATTGGCTATACACATAGTTATGTAACATCTATACTTAGGCTATAAAGCTAAAAAAAATCTGTTGAAGATGAGCATAACATTTCAGGGGTTGAAAAAATTGTATTACTTACTTTAGCTCTATTCATTCAGAGAACTTTGAAATGAATAAGTCAAAAGGTTATGTAAATATCTTATTGTCTAGATGTACCCTATACTCAACTACCATTGTATTACTGAAGATACAGAGAATCAAAGTAGAGAATTTTCATAGCTCGTTGGTCATATGACAATATGTCTTAAGTTTTACCTAATTTTTTAAAGGTATATTTTGAAATAAAGGGTTTTATAACTTGGATAAAATAAAACTTTGAATCATAACATACATTATAATATTAATTTCATTTACATACACTGATAGTAAAAGTGTTTAATTAAAATTTGAATGTAACACAGTTACTTGCTCAGAAAAGTGTTTAAAGGAGCTCCCATTGTAAAAGGGTAAAGAAAAAAATTAGGAAGTCCAAAAAGGCTTGTGAGAAACAGCTGGCTGATAATGTTAAAACTAATAAAAGATATTAGCAGCATTCATGACTTTGAACATTCTACGGAAAAGATCTAAACTAAGTGAATTGTGTAAATATTGATCACTTTGTATTAAGTATATTAGAAAAAATTGGGAGAATAAAAATGGAAAAAGTATCAAAGCATGAAACATGTTTTTTTCTTGGTCTTTAACACATTTGCTGCCACTAGTAGTATTAATAATTCCTATTCTAGTGCCATTTTTTCATATTTAACTTAGGTGTCTGATATTTATATGGTTAACTATACTATCTTTAATTATCTCACTGAAGCCAATTGTAATATGTGACCCACCATTGTGTCACATGGTCTATAATGAAAAGTTGGTTGTGACCCACCGGTGGGGCAAATGGCAGCAAATGTATTAAGGAGGTCAAATATCAAATATGTGATCCTATCTCTAACATTTTAGGTCAATAGACAGAGGACAGATGCCTGAGAACTGGAAAATTGTTTATAGTATTTCTATTTTTAAAGATGTTGTCCTGGAAATTATATGCCAGTTAGTCTTACTTATGCAGGCAAAATTCTAGTCTGATAAATGAAACTTTACAAAATCATTTTGTGCAACACATCACAAATGAAAACCAAAAATTTTCTTTTGTATTTCTCTTGTGAAAGAAAAACATTGTGTGGCTATGATTTTTGTTTTTACATGAGTCAAAGTATAGAATTATTAACTTTGGTGATTAAGTGATTACACAATGAACCATGAGCAGCACAGAATGATATATAGATGTACTATATTTTGTACATTATCTAGGTTAAGTTTGGTGAAATTAGCTTAGGTTACGATTGGTAACATTTTGTTACTGTGAAGCTCACCTAGTTGCTGAGGGTGAATGAATAGTAATATGTAAAGTTACAAATGGTCATGCAGTTATTCTTGACTATATAGTAGTAATTGTTCAAAAGGTCATAAACATAAGTCGTCCACCTATTACTCAAAACACTATATTAAACACAACAACCACATATACCCAATCATATAGTCATTGATTGTTTTCATGGTTATAACACATCATTAACTGTCACTGTCATGTGGACAGCGTTAGATAACTTTAAACTAGTAATTCTGAACACTCAAATGATCATACTTAGTCAAAATTAAATGACAGTCGTGCAGTTGCTTTAAATTAATTTGACTACACATACAACAATCGTGTACACAGCCTCAGACTCGTTACTTATTACATATACTAGTAGTAGTATAGTCACTCACTACTAGTAGTATTATTAAATAATTCGTGTCCCTGTTGACACAATGACAACTTTGTGTTTTAGTTTTACCTGGATTAGGCTAAATGAGTTTCCTCACCTTAAAAATCCTACCAGAGATAATATATACACTAACAAATTTCTATCTATAATATATTTGAAAAGTAAACGTTCTGACAAATTATGCAATTATAAAATAAAGAGGTCGAGATATATAAAAAAATATAATAAGGATTATAACAAAACCAGCCTAATACCAACCTTCTAAAACCGGAAGTTTGTTAACGTAAAATATACCAGACGCCCTGTAAAACATACAGTGCTCCCTAGTAGTAAGTATTTATATTGTAGATTTTTTAAATTAATTACATATATACTATGAATGAATTGAACAAATTTGCTTTATTTTCTTGAGCTAACGATCCAAGAAAGAGATCATATTCGATCAACATTAAATGTGGGTTAAACACAAAATAAGATAATGTCGATTTTACATTAAAAAATAACTATAATTTTTTTAAAGACAGCATTGCTTTCTGTCAGGGTTTTTGATATGAGTGGGTTGGGATTCTTCTACAATAGGTGTCTATGACTTGTTGGGGATAAATTTGGACAATAAACGGACGGCACACAATCCACTTGTTTTAATATAATACATACATTCAAAACAAGTCAAACGTATGTACAAATATTCAATACACTTTCGGAAACAACAGTTTTATCTAAAACTTTAAATAATTCTTTTTTCTTGTCGAGAGTCCACACAGACTGATTCAGTTACTTTAGGATCCAATTGACAAGACGAAATATTTTTTCTACTCTTATCACAATAGATTCAGTGAATAACTCTCTTACTTTACCTCGTGGGATACAACAGTTGTATCCTGAACTTTAAACAAATGTCTCCCATTGGTCAAAGTCCACAAAGACTGGTTTAATTACTTTAGAACACCCTTTGACAAGACAAATTATTTCCATTATTTCTGTTAAACTGTGAAACTCACTTTAAGATATCACTTACATGCTGGCTAACTTCACGTTTTCTAACTATTTTTCTGACTTCACTTGACTTGCACTCACTTGGTTACCTTTGTCCTGGAACATTCTACAAACTGGGAACAATACTCAGATAGCGAGAAAAACTTAGAGGTTTTGAGAAATATGATATTAACAATACTACAACATTTGAACTACACACACAACGTACGACTCTTACCGAGTTACATAGCGAAATTTGTTATAACTATTACTCTCAAAATAATTAATTTTAACATTCTTGTTAGGAAAACTAAATAATCATTAAATATTAAATCACTAAATAAACTAAATAATAACTATAAAGCAGTCTTGTATATCCAACAATAAGTCTCTCATCAAGAAAAATATTTATAATATTTTTTACACTATATACAAAGACTGTTCCCAGTTCATACTCTAAACCTCCTCATATAGTATGCATCAACATTTGTAGTTTCCTTGTTGGTCTCTCTTCTTACAGGGTCTCTGGTAGGGCTTCACCTTGACAAGATCCTTTATCTTCGTTTTGATCTTGTGTTTCCCAAAGTCTGTCTTTCTTAATATATCTATATACTGGCACATTAAATTTTGTACCTCTTTCTTCTTTTTGCCAGTAAGTTCTGCACTTATGTTGACATCCTTGTACGTCTCATCTCCACCCAGTGGTCTTAGGCCTAGTATATCTTTATCTTCTGTAATGAAGTCACTGTCTTTAATTTCGGCTTCTATGACAACAACAACGCCTGCTATGTCCATCTCTACCCCAATAGTTGCACCCATAAGGTCTTCTACCCTCTCTATGTACCTCTTCAACAGATTGGCATGGTAAGCCTTGGT